AAAGGGGAAAGTTATCTCTTCATTTTAAAATAAGAATTGAAGAATTATTATCATGTAAACGGATAAGAGATCTCATATGTAAACGACGTGATAGTCGTAAAATTGACGTAAGCGGTTGTTGTTAGTGTGTTCGTATCAAATTGAACCAGCCGTCGTTTCGTATTCTCACATCTGCATTCCAAGGAATATATACATATACATATATATATATATACTGTCGGATATACGGTCATATAAGCACCACTCGCACGTTCTACCCGAAGTACAAGCTTTCTTGATTGTCCATAATTATCCTCAAGCGACGAATACTTAGTAAATTCTTCTACAGCTGCAAGAGTTCTTTCTTTCCCATAAATAATGTCTGCATGTGTATATATATATATGTATGTGTATACATGGTTCCCTTCCTTCCAATAAGAAGAAGTCATTCTTTTTTTACTGGGGAAAAAAATTGTATTCCGACCAATCCACCACCTTGTCCGATCACGGTTGGCTGATATCGTTGATCATAGATTGAACTGTTTTTTTTTGTTTAACGAATATAAAGGGTTACAACTGAATATACGATTCTTTTAGGATATATGAACGAGTTAACATCAAATATATTTGAAATAGAATCCATTTACTAAAAGAATGGAAAGATGAAATTCATATAAGTTTTTTTGGAAAATAATAAAAATACGTAAATGGTATAATAGTTAAAATGAACCACTTTGTAACTTAAAGAAAAATCAAGAAGGAGAATACTCGAATGATAAAAGCACTCAAGGATATTAGAAGATATGAGAAAAAGCAGACACACGTCTGTTAGAAAAAACTTAAACGTCTGTTCCTTGTTTGACTGTTGTTCTAAAGAATACACGATATATTTCATGGCCGAGTTAAATTCTTCTATAGGAAAATATATTAACAGTTTCTATTATAACTTTCTTAAAAATTATACACACACCTAAACGCATATCACATATATACAATACATACAGTTCGTCGAACAATGTAATAAAATAGAAAGTGAAATCTATTTGCGTAAGATCTTAATACTTGCAATACAATTCTTCACTTAATGTTTGTTTGTTTGTTTTTCTTTTCTTTATAATAATTTGTAAAATCCAAGATATAGAATGTAACAAACAATATAAAGGAAAACAACAGAGTTTTAAAAAGAATTCCGAATTCTTAAAATAGTTTTCTTTATTGAGATTATGAGACAGACATGTTCGTTGTTGTGTCTTCCCTATTTTCCAGCATGGTTTATAATACACAAGAAGAAGAATCCAGTGCGGGCGTATATTATGAGGGTTCGAGTTCCAAGAAAGGGACTCTTCTCTTTCGAAAGGATAGACGATCCTAAAAAGAAGAAAGAGAAGACCCTGGGAGCTATTCAACCTGAAATCCTTCGCAGGTTATAAAAAGGGACCTTTCTTTATCTATCTATCTATCTATCTGTCTTTTTCTTTCTCTTTTTTTTTTCTTCCCGCGTGTGGGTGTGTGTGCATTCCTTCCTGTTAATTCCAGTTTCTGTTAGGGGGAAAAAAAAAAAAAATGGAAGAAGAAAACGTGTTCTTAACATAGTCCCAGGTAAGAAAATTCGAATATATATTTCCGAAACTTTTCTCATTGGTCACGTTTCATTTCCCCCCCCCCCTCTTCCGAGGAAAAAAAGAAACAAAAAAATGTCGGCCATTTGTATTTTTCTTTTTCTATCGTAAGAAAAAATTAGAAACTTCTCGTTTCGGAACATGTACGAAATATATGAACAAAAAGAAACAGGTAAAACAGTGTGTCGTCCTTGACAAAAGTGGGGCGGTGGTGGTAATGGTAGTAATGGGATGTTACTTAAGAATACACACAAATATTTCCATAGAAAAAATATTAGAAAAGAAGTAATATCATTTTTGTTTGAGTTTATTATACTTCGTAAAAGAATTAGCAAGGCCAATTTTGAACGTAACATCATATTTCAAGGATTCTTGACAAAAATAAAGATGGCGGTCGTTATCAGCTGTTAGTTAAGAACACTAAAAATTCYTAGAGATTAGAAATAAGTTATWTTTTGTTTGTTTGAATTTATACTTCGTAAAAGAAATTAGCACGGGGCCAATTTGAACGTAGCATCTCATATTTCGAGGATTCTTAGCAAAAATAAAGATGGCGGTCGTTATCAGCTGTTAGTTAAGAACACTAAAAATTCTTAGAGATTAGAAATAAGTTATATTTTGTTTGTTTGAATTTATACTTCGTAAAAGAAATTAGCACGGGGCCAATTTGAACGTAGCATCTCATATTTCGAGGATTCTTAGCAAAAATAAAGATGGCGGTCGTTATCAGCTGTTAGTTAAGAACACTAAAAATTCTTAGAGATTAGAAATAAGTTATATTTTGTTTGTTTGAATTTATACTTCGTAAAAGAAATTAGCACGGAGCCAATTTGAACGTAACATCTCATATTTCGAGGATTTACGAAGATTTCCCTTTCACAATGCTTTCGAAACCATATAAATACGAACCACCACCATCACCACCAATGTGTTTCTAACATACTACTAATACTACAACTTATTTTCTACTATTACTACTACTATTACAAAAG